GCACAAACTGACCGGTTACTGAGTGAGGCAGCAGGTTCTTATTTTTTTTATTTAAAAAACAGCTAATCCTCCCAAGTCACAACAGACACACACATACATAGCATGAGGAATAGTTTAGACCCTGATTACATTTCATCTCTTTCAAAGATTAGGAAGATTGTTAGAAGCCAGACAGAAAAACCGTATCTGAGAACTACGACCCGCTGAATCAGCTATAGACAACCTTTAAGTCATTCTTTATTTTTAAACAATGACTGTTGGCTTGGCTCTGCTTACAGAACTGTAACAGCAAAGAGCTTATTTTGTGATGCTGCTTTAACAACTAGAATTTCTATTCCAACCAATCCACTCCCAGTCCCCAGTCAACTCCACAGAATTGAGCACTAGGCTCTGTTTAGTTTCACCTGCACAACTCCTGTTTGCCTGCTCTTTTACTGAAAATAACTGTATAGCATGAAAGAAAAAACAAGAACTTGAAATCTCCTGCTGCACAAAAGGAAAATCCTGGTATGTACACCAGCATCTCTGATAATCGTTTACCTGTGAGTTATCAAGAGTACACAACAGCAACAATCAGAGAGTTTGCTGTCTCTTGCAATGTGTCTCCTCTCATTCATATTGCATAGATAGGCTTTCACAGCAGACTGTGATTCACATTTGAGGAATGTTTGCTAGATATCCCCAAAGAGCCCACAGTCTGTGGTCACTGCTCTCATCTGCAGTAATTTGAAGATTCATGTTTCTCTCATTAAATCAGCAATGACACATTGAAGCACAGGCCCAGGCATGATTTGGATTCATAATGAACATCTAAGTATTGCACAGAATATCTGTATGTGTCCTGTTCATACACAGGCATTCTACATTCATTTGAAATTTGATCATATGTGCAGCTTACGTCCATTAATTTCTGCAAATATTTACACCATGCCACTACAAATAAATCTTTACCCTCAGAGTAGAAACACCATACTTTCAACACTGCAAGAGGTGCTGATTAACTACTTGCTTGGCAACCTTAAAATGCAGACTGTATTAAGCTTTTCACGTTCTGATTTCCATGACTCTTCACCACGTATAGAAACTAATGACTTGGCTGAAGGACTTTGCAGAAGCAGGCCTTGGCTTTGTAATGTCACACTTGATTGAGCAGGGTTTCATTTCACACTTCACATGAGTCTCAAAGCTGTTTTATGTTGTAAATACTTCCTCAAACTAACCATGGAAATTTGGACTTGGGACTGCATGCGCAAGTGAGGTGTACGTAGAACATCTCCTGTAACTTGTTAAACATCACACACATTGTCATTCCTTCCCTTTCCTGTCTGTTTTTATCACACAGATGCACAATGACATACTCAAAGCCTTTTCAAAAGATCAAGAAGAGAGGGAGGAAACAGAGGTCACAAAGGGAAAAGATGGGAAAAAGGAAAGAAGAAAAACAGAGGCAGCCAGGAAAGCAGTGCAAAAAGCCATAATGATGTAATTCCTTTTCTAAAGAAACTGGTCCTAAGGATACTTATTACCTTACAAAAAGTTATTATTAACTGGGAGCTTATTAGAAATGAAATTTATAAAAACAGAGGCCTCTAAATTATTGAAGACAATATGGTATCCTTCTCCCTAATGCTTTTGGAAGAGACTCAGTTCTACGATGCACAAGAGAGACCATCAGCACTGCCTGTCTAGCACTTCCATAAAATACTTTAGCAATAGTTCAAACTCAAACGTCTTCCACAGTTCAGTGTCTAGGTACACCCCAGGGTGCTATTCCTTTCTGTTTTACAATAGTATAGTCAAGCAGCTTCTTAAAGCCAGGCCTTCATTGGCAAAGTTTAGCTATCATTAGGCAGTAAATATCTGAACTTCTCTGACACAAACCTATTAAAAATGACCAGTGACAGAACAGATGGAATGAGATGGCATTAAATTTCAGTTTTAACATGACTTATACCAGTGGTTCTATTAAAATCTGAACAATGTGCTGAAGATAATTTCCTGTCCTTTTCACACTAAAGAAAGTGGTCTACTTGATTAAGTGCTTGTAGCAGTTATCTATATGCTGTTTGGAGAGGGAAAAAAAAAAAGCATTCAAATGCAAATATTTGATTTCTTAAATAGTGCATTATTTTCTTTTGCTTTTGTTTAGCAAATAGAACCAATGCTTGATGACAAAGACCGATCCTTAAGTCTCTAAGCAGCACTTTAGGAGGCTCCTGCTGAGTATGTAATAACTGACATGTTGCAAAACTGTTTAATTAAGTAAACAGTTCTTAAAAGCCTGAGATTAATAAATCTGCCTTATGAGCTTATATCCTATGGCTGATCAACACTATCAACAGAACAACTTTCCTGCTGTGGCTGAGACAGACTATAAAAGAGGATGTTTTTAGAACTGCTCTTATGTGCTGTGTCTCCAGAACAAAAATATCTGGAAAATTTGTCTAAATCATGCGATGCTAGACACAGTTTCAAGCATATGAAAGGGAATGTTCATGGATACATATGTTGCATGGAATGGCAGAAACCTTGCTTCTGCTGATAAACCAGTTTAAGAGATTCTGAACTGCGGAATTCAAAAATGACCTTTCCTACTTACCTTAGTGTTCATACAAGATTTTCCACGTTTGTACTCTTTGTGACTTGCTCTTTTATCAAGCTTGTTCCACAAAGCTTTGGCCTTCCACGTGGTCACTCTTGACTTCAGTTTGCTGTAAAAGTTCTTACAGTCCAAAGGATCTAATTCAAGTTGGCGTGTGAGAATATTAAAGGCCTGAATGGTACCTTTGCATGTTGTTGCTTGGACAAAGTTTTCAAATATCTGGCCAGCTTGACTGTATTTTTCATCATCGTTTTCCCCCATGTTCTGACAGAAGGGTTGAAAAGAATTAAGCTGGAGTTCTTGTGCTAGGGTGCAGGTAACCAACACTAGCAAGTAATTCCAAGCATGTTATTCCTAGAAAAGACAAACATAAGTTATGTTAAAGCATGCTTTGCCTGGGAAAATTAAATCCATAAACTGCATATTCAATATGAATATAAAAACACAGCAAATGACTGTTGGACAACCAGCCAAATACAAAAGTTTAGGAGTGGCATTTAAAGTGTGCTACAAAGAAACCTACTTGTGCTGTCACAACATGTACTTCATGATGATTTATGAGACTCGTATACATGCAAGACCACTGCTTCAAAAATCAATCAGCTTCACACACAGCCCAACAATTAGCATTCATTAACAAATGCTAGATAACAGATTAAGAAAAAGAATACTGAGGTGCTTTTCCTAATCAAAATTTAAATCACAACAAGTACATCTTTAGTAATGTTTTGGTCTTAAGAATCCTTAGAAACCTGCAGCCAAAAGTCAATGTTAGGGAATTTTCTCCTGTTGCACAAGCCAGGAGCAAGAGCGCAGCTTAGCCAATAAATATAGAATTGGCCCAATCAATTGTCACAAGCAAATGTACACAACAAACTAAGCAGAAACATTATTACAAGTTACACCAGAACAGAAGAAATGGAACACAAATAACTTCAGACAACTCCCCTTTTACAATTCTTGCCAAAATGAGAAAGAGTTCAGTACTCTAGCAAATGGAAAGGAATTTTATGTCCACATAGTAAATGTGGAAGTGACGTGATTGGAGTCATATCTTGTCATGTGCTACTGATATAAAGTTAATGATACATACATTTGGCCCACTAAGTTCCACTGGCTTTTTTTTTTTTTTTATTACTCCTAGTAATATGATCACTGTCAAACTGTGCCTGATATTCCAGACAAATACTCTTACAATTTGTAAGAGCAAAGCTATTCTAAATAAATATAAATTTGCAAGAACTAAAAAACGTTCCTTGTGGCACTCCCTTATCCTTCTTTAACCTCGCTCTCTATCTCTAATGGGAAGTGTTTTAGAGTCAGCCAAGATCCAAAGAAAATACTCAAATGGCTTTCGTATTAGGGAAATTATTATAGGTTATGTTTAAGCTTGCCCTCAGAAGAGGGTCTACCTGAACTCAATGCCAGAGATGCAAGTCCTATCTTCTTTTTCTTGTTATTAAGGAATTATCTACCAGTCCAAGAAATCAACAACTAAATTGATGCTTGCCTAACCTCTCACATAATCAGTTATTTTGCTTGGAACGTCATCTGTTGGCTGATCGCTTCAGAGTAAATTGCTATAAGGGCCTTTGAAGTTACACTTTTTAATTTAACACTGTTCACAAACTAGTCGTTCCCTGCTCACATTTCCTTCAAAGAAGAAAAGGGGAAACACAACTAGTGTATTTAAGTAACTAAGAGACCTACTATGCCTATCTTAGATACAGAAAAATATTATGCAACATATTAAGCAGATCCCATGGGGAGATATAAGGAAGCATTTGGAACACTCACATTCCCTAGCTATGCTCAAAATAAATAACCTTTGTATGCACATCATCAGTCTGCTCTTGGTTTGCGGGTAAAATAAATTGGCAACGTTGAGAGTTTGTACATTTTCTTAGACCAAATGTCACGATGAAATACAAGTGCCAAGAATAAGTCAGGAAATTTTTGTTTTCCCTTCTGAATACTTCATTTATAGTATGTTCTGTGCCCTTTTCTGAAGAGCTTCGTGAAGTAAAATCAGAAACATTTTATATGCCTCTACTTCCAGAATGTCTAATTTTTCAAAAAACAAACAAACAAAAACCTGAGCGCTGTGAACTCCCACTGACTCAAGAGGAGTTGAAGACATCCAGAATCTTTCCAGGCTCAAGGACTTATGATTAACAAGCAAAATCCTCCAACAACTGCATGCCAGCAGGATGGATTCTGGCCATCTTGGCTGCCCCAGCACAGGTGGGAGAGGAAGGCCTGGTACAACTCTCACCAGCCCTCGCTTTGTGAAAGCAGTGCTACGGATCAGCCCAAAACCAGCCAACAGAACCAAAAGTTCTATTGGGAAAGGGAAAAGATAGGGGCCTGCCACTATCTAGAGGCTGATTCAGCGAAAAAAAAAGTACATCTGGGCTTAAGCACAAGTGCTGTTATGAGAGGAAGATAACACAGGACAACCAAAGAGAGTAGTAGCACAGTGTTGAACACTACAGTTCATCTTAAACAGCTTGACATACAGCCCCCCAGTGTCTGACACCAACTGAAACCAGAAAAGAAATGCGTATGCAACCGGCAGAGTGATTTTTAACATTAAGCCAAAGTATGCTTTTTTTTGTTGGTGAAGGGGGAATTGTCACTGAAACACAGCACTGTGGACAGTTCAGCTAGAACTGTGGCAGCCAGATCAGGTTTTCTTCATGGCTTTAAACTCACACTGCTATTGCCTCAGTGCTACATGACTTTGACCTAGGAACTATAAAACAGTTACTTCCTCTCCACTGTTTTCACTAGCTCACCACAAGATTGTTATCTTGTTCATGTAACACAAGCACCTGTAGAAGTTAACCCCACGCAGAATTGATAAGAGTCCAATCACAAACTTTTTAATTTTACTACTCAGAGAGGAGACTTTTGTAAGCCTCAGCTGTTTCCATCCAGTGACAGAAGGGGATGAAAGGGAAAATGCCAAAAAAAAAAGTACAGCTATATCTGAACCCACTCATGAGGAAAAGCACGAAGTGCCAGGGCTGATAATGGTGAGGAAAACAGAGAGAAGACTCGGCAGGAGCCACTGCAGGCAAAGTGAAAGATAGGAAAACGTCTCTAGCTTGATGCAAGCTTGTGCTGCACATGCATGCACACACACACACAAATGTGCAGCAGGCCTGGGCTTCCTCTGTCTTTTCACTGAGAAAGGGAGACCTTCCTCAGCCTTAACACTTCACTCTTCCATCACTGCAAAGCCATGATCAAACCCCTTCCTGATTGGCATGAAATCTTCTCCTCACAACCTTCCAAAATGCTCCCATCACATCCCTGTAGAGCTGTGGTGAGCATCTCAGCAGACATTCGCTCACCAGCAGAGCATTTCTCCTTTCTGTGTCAGAGGTCGTGTTCTCCAAAAAAGCCAGTTTTGTGGTTGGGAAGGCCAGATGACAAAGGAGATTCTGCTTACTGGTTTTTGGCTTGCTGGAAATACCACTTTTTTTTTTTTTTTGGCATGCAGACTGTGTTGATAGATGACAGAGAAGAAAATGGTCCTAAAAGGAGATGCAGCCTATGGAAAACTACATTCTTTCTTCTGAGGAACCAGCAATATTTCACTGCGGTATCATACACAACTCACTAGAAATAATGCTCTAAAGTCCAGCAGTCTAAATTGAATGGAGTAATTCTTAACAACAATAGGCTTGCTTCCTGTTTTGTGTTTGTCTCAAAAACTTGTGAAGCAATACATAAACTGTTTACCTGTAACAAAAAAAAAAATACAACCAACCAAAAAAACCAACATGTGTGGGGAAAAAACTTGAGTTCTTAGAACCCTATCATTTAATCCTTTTCCTCCTTCATCGTGTAGGTCATGCAGGGGATAAAACAGACTTGAAAATCTTTTCAAGGTGAGTAATGATGTGGAAACCATAACCTATGCTTTTCATAGTGACTACTATACTTCTGGGAACACACACCAAAAAAAAGTTCATGTTACTGAAGTATTTCAGCCCAGTATAAAACTGGACCACAGAAAAGAATTAGAGAGCAGGAAACAGTTTGGAGACAGTTCCCTTATGTCAGATCTGAAGCACTCATGGGTATTGGCCACTCTGGGTCAGATTTGTAGTTAACAATAGGTCTCATGCACAATGCATGTGAGAATTCTGCTGTCCACGTGGCTTCCCATGGCATTTACAAGGACAAGCCTCAAGCTGCAGACACTGGGAAGAACAAGGGTTGCATTTTGATAACTTGGCCCCTCTGTGCCTCCAGTCAGGGAGGAAACAGGAATGTCAGATGAGAAAATTTGAGAACTGCTGTTCATCCCTGGTAGCAACCCAAGGAGAAAGTGAAGATCCTACCACAACTTAAAGGAAGGCATTGGAAAAAGGACAGAAAAAGTAGAAATTAAAGCAATGGTACATACACAAACATATACAAACATACACAAACACATAGAAAAACAAATGCTAGCAGTCTCAGTTGGCATTCCTGCAGATGATTTTGAGAGTAGCAAACCAAACTCCTCCACTGTCAGGATAATTTCACTAATTATCGCTACGTAAATCAATGTACAGAGCCAGTTCACATCTGCACAGGAAGTCCTTCAGCATAATACAGCAAACAGTGAAGTAGACATACATGAGTCATTAAATGAAAATGACTAACTTTTGACAGTAATAGCTGCAGAATGCATATCAGCAGCATTTTGAGGCAACAGGCTCCAACGTTTTTGGAGCTTAGTTGTCCAACTGGAGAGGGAAAAAAACACTAATTTTAATTCAAACTTGCAGCACTTTTAAGTCCTTCCTTAGTATCTTAGTGCTGTTTCTAATGCTTGAGAACAAGTTCCTCAGAGAGACTGGAAAGGAACTGAATTCCTAGCATTTCAATACCACTAATCCTGATTACATTTTCAATACAGTCTAATTTACCAGGAGTAAATTCAGTTATTAAGACTTTAGTTCAGCATGCAGGATACAATACATTTATTGTTTGCTTAAGGTTAAAAACATCAACAGGAACAAATGACTGCATTTTGCAGCATCTATAGAAACCATTCACTTCAGCACTTCATCATCATCAGTAAAAATTCAAGTTTTTCCTGTTATCTCTTCCCTGCTATAAAAGTCTAAAAAAAAAAGTCTAAAATCATTACAATAACTGACATTTGCATGTGAAACTGGATGCTTCTGGGCTTTTCAGTTTAGTTTCTGTTTGCATTACGCACTTCGTTTGCATGGTGGCCATTTTAAATATAAATATTTATATCTGGAGGAAACATAGATTTCTGGTAGTTTGGTTTCTTTGCATGTTTTCCTCGAACTGACATAGTATGATTCTGATAACAGCTGAAGCTC